AATGAAAAAACCACTTTGGCAAATACTAAGGAGGACAGCGGCAGTGAACCCAGACACTAGCCACAGTGGGAGCGGCATTATTAAGATGACAGGCACCTATTTGGTGGTGTGAGTGCTACTAAGTTTCAGGGAGAAATGACATCACAGAACGAAACTCACTTGACAAGTACTCATGGGGAGGTACTGTTACTGCTGTACTCAGGGCCTGAATCTGGGAGATAGCAGAGAGGAAATCCCCTGATTTCGTTCTGGTCTGAGACCTCCAGAAGCCAGTATGATAGGAAGTGGGGCCAATTGCCACAGAGGCCCTGCCTGTGTCTGAGGGGTCTGAGGGAGGAGGGTGGGAGCACCCATGAGCAGGTGGCTTGTCCTTTCTACGTTTCTGTCGTTTCCAAGGTAGTATATGGCTTGCCACATGGATAGCTGGCCTTCCCACTCCTCCTTTCAACACTTTATGTAGAAAAACCTCAAACCTAGCAAAGGATGAACACGAGCACAGTTATCCGTTAGCCATACTCATAAGCCGTTAACATTATCACCATTGCCTTTCCTCCTCTTTGATTCTAACACACGTGAGTAACCCCCCACCCCTCCACACGCATATGCACACAATCTGTGCTCAGCCAGCCAGGAGCTACTTGCTCACATCCTGGGACTTAAGAGTAAAATATCGTTACGGTGATGCTTAACCGTTCCTTTCCCCACGCCTCTCAATGGCGCCTGTGGTCAAGGATCACACATCCAGTCCTCAGCATGTATGCATCCTCCTCTTCAGTCTAGAACTGTTTCCCAGGGTTGCTTTTAATCATCGTCTAAGATGTCAACTTTGAAAAGGAAGCATAATTCCAGGCCAGGAATCTTGTGAGATACAGGTTTGTTGAAAGGTACTACATCCTTCTCATCTCCATCATGGTGGACTGCACTATTAACCAAACCCAGGTCCCTTTCCCCAGTCCAGTCATCTAGTGAGTGAACTATGTGAGTATCTGAAAAGATAAAAAGATGAAAATCAGCATTCTTTCACACGTGCTGTTTTACAGCCAGTGACTTTTCTTGCAGTGACAGAAATAGTTTTATAAAAACAAAATTTAAAAAAGCCAGTAAGACTTCTTTGGAATCCTATGATAACCTTCATCATTTCCAATGTTAAACTATTTTTTTTTGCTTGTTTGTTTGTTTGTCTTATTCATTCCCAGAGTGTTCACTTCAAGCCTGTGGAATTTTCACCAGCGTCTTCATAGTTGTCTAAACAATGTTGTCTAAACATAGCTGTCTAAACAATGTCTTTGGATCATACCTCTTCCCTCAGGATTTCTGTTAGAAGCCGTGTTTGGATCTTTCCACGCATGCCCCAGGTTTAATGTGCTCACATGCGAGCCATGACTTGCTTTTCCTATCTTTATTTCGATAATTGCACCTCTGTCTTCTCAGTGATCCTCTAGTGAAAGAGGATTCCTTCTTCTTCCTGAGTTGCCAGACCATTGTCAGAGCCTCTTTTCTAGGTGACACAGCGTTACCTTCAAAAAAGCCTTGATGAGTTATAGCCTCTTCCTGGGGAAAAGATGGCTCTCAAGGCAACAGCTGGCAAGTCTTTATGGCAGGCTTCAGATCCAGCTCCCTTTGACTGCTTTGCCTCTCTTTATGGGGGATACCATAAATCAGTTATTTCTCAAAGTCTTGCTTTATTCCTTTATTAAGTGGGAAAAGCAATGATCCTTATTTTGTATGGTTATTATAAGACTGGAGTGGGATAAAATGAGAAAATCAGGACAGTTTCGAATCGGGGCACTTGTGGCAGCTAGAAGGCAACCATCCAGGCACACCTGTGAGAGATTAGTGTCAGGGCATTCCTGTGAGGGATTATGTTGATTAGGTTAACTGCTGTCAACAGCTGCTGCTTCAAGGTCCTGCTGCCTTCACTACCAGACTATAATCGACTATGAGCCTTGAATTGTGAGCCCAAATAAATTTTTTTCCCCCGTAAGTTACGTTCGTCAGGATATTTTATCACAGTGACTGAAAAAGAAGCTAAGGACCATTATTCCTCCCAAGCCTTAAATCTCGTGCCTCTTTCCCTTTATTCAGTGATTGTAGATTAGTTCCCTAAGAACCTTGTCTCCCAAACTGTCATTACCTTTGTTAGAAGAGGGGTTAAAAAGCCGCTGTTGAGAAGGAGAAGAGAGGGTGGGATTGAGAGAGGAGAAGGTAGAGAGCTACAGGGGAGATACAAAGTGAATATATTGTAATTAATAAAAATTAAAATTAATGAAAAATAAGATTCATCAAAGGAAAAAAAAGCCACTGTCTACAGGCCAAGTGGAACCGACATTTGTTTTTATAAATAAAGCTTTATTAGAAAGCAGCCACACATATTTGTTTGAGTGTGGTCTATGGATGTTCCCACCCTAAACTTGAAGAACCAAGTTTACTACATGTTATTTACATGAAAATTTTGTGAATTGTTGTTGCTTGGGGATATTGCAGTAGACTTCTTCCTGGTTATTTCTTCCTGGTTATTTGTTCTTGAACCTGTTTATTCTTTCTTTCTGGGCAAGAAGAAAGTTCTGTGAGGTTTGATCTTGATTGTGCTGATGGACTTTTGTGTTTCACTGGCTCTTGCAGAGGTGTCAGCTCCCATCAGATCCTCTGGCAAATACTGCTCTTTTTTTTTTTTTTTTGAATATTCAACCCTTACTTTTGTCCTCAATAATAAGCCCAGGGTTTTCCTTCTCCAGTAAGACTTTCCTGATGTCCACTGCTGAACCAGCGGCTTCTGTTCCTCCGTCATCTTCAGCTACATCATCTCTCTCATTCTCAGTCTGCCATGATGATGATGGAGTGGCTATCTGTCATAACCACTGCCTTGAACTCAACTACAGGACAGGAATGTTTATTTTTTCACTTTTGAAGTCTTTAGTGCCCAGTCTGGTTCCTGGCCCATAATAAAAGCCATTAGGTTGTCATTGCTTCTTGGTGTATGTGTTGGGGGTTGGAGGCTTCTCTAAAATGCTAGGGGAATGTAGAAAAGAGACACATCACAAGAGGCTTCCTAGGATGTAGACAATTCAGCCGAATAGCAGAGGCTGTGGAGAGGAGAAAATGAAATGATGGGAACAAATAAGACTTAGGAAGCTTGTGTCCATGTGATAAGACCTGAAAGAAGCATGTTGGGAAATAACATGCAGAATGAAAGGCATGTGTGAGAGCATGCTGGCAGACAGGCGCTAAAGGAATCAGATGGTTCCTACTCTACAAAGCCTCTTCTGATGGGGTGCAGAGATGGCAGGAAACCACAGAAACACTGGAGCATATACCGTTCTCTGCCTCCCAAGTGCTGTGATTAAAGGCATGCTCTGCCATGCCAGGCAATCAGCCATGTTTTTTTATAATGTCATCATCCAATGATAAGGGCACAAAGTGTCTAGCGTGTTACGGATTCTCCATAAACATCCCTTTCATTCTTGAACTATATGAGAACGCCTCAGATTTAAGGGGAGTTTTCATTGTTTAGGATTCTAAAAAATGTATTACAAATATGTCCGTATTGAGTATTCTAACTAATGTACACTAATATAGAGAAGTCTTAGATATTCTCAATACCAAACATTTAAAAAAATTTACTATTGTAAAAATACTACAGTATTTATAGATAAACATTGTCCTCTGTACTGCAGCCTTCATGAGTTTAAGTATTCTGGTAATGTTTATCTTCAGTTTTGAATTTTTGTTTTGGTGGTGCTGGGAATTGAACCCAAGGCCTGTTACATACTAGGCAAGTACTCTACCACTGAGTTATCTCCATCATTGCGTTGTATCTCCTTCACTGAGCTTTATCAGCTGTGTCTCCTTCATCACTAACCTGTGTCTCCATCACTGAGCTGTGTCTCCATCACTGAGTTGTGTCTCCATAATGAACTGTATCTTCTTCACTGAGCTGTATCAGCTGTGTCTCCTCCATCACTAACCTGTGTCTCCATCACTGACCTGTGTCTCCATCACTGAGCTGTGTCTCCATTACTGAGTTGTGTCTCCATAATGAACTGTATCTCCTTCACTGAGCTGTATCAGCTGTGTCTCCACCGCTGAGCTGATTTTTCATCAGTGAGCTGTGTACGCCCTAGTTTTGAGTGTTTACCTTTTTAAAACTCCTGCTATTAAAAAAAATCCTCCTATGGAGGTTTTAATGACTTTTTATTTGGGTTGTCTTTTTCTGGACCATCTACAACCTTATTTTGCCTTTGTCAAGACTTTAAGAACCTCTGATTTCTTTCCCAATTGGCAAAACCAGAGACCATTTTTCCTGTTCTCGCTCTCTCTCCTCTGTGTGTATGTGTGTTTTATTTTTTGTGATTTTGGCATTTTTCTCTCAATAAAATACTAAATGAAGTTGGCAAAATAAACTCCTTTGCGTAGTGAGGGGCTCATAGAAGGACAGAGCCTCATAGCTAGAACACATTTTTTTTTTTTTTTTTTTTTGTGGATGACTTCCACAGGAAAAAAAAAAAAATCTGTCATCAGAATGGCCTGAGAGAGATGGCCCGGAGAAGTCAGGGAAGAGAACTGGGTAGTTAAAGATAACCAGATAACTGAATAAAATTGGGGTTGGTATTTAAGGGTACCTTGTACTCTACAGTAAATTATACTCTCCAAGACTCCACTTATCCAGATCCTCAGAGGTGACTTGAAGCTTCAGTTTCAAGTTGAGTACATTTTCCATCCATGGATTTGCTTGTTTTGTTCAGTTTTACTTTGAATATTTGAGGTTGTCTTTACTACGTAACAGCTAAACCCACGGCTTCCTTTCTCGTAAAACCAAAACAAAACGGCTCTCTATTCAGGTGCTGTGTGTGTGTGTTACATTTATGTAGCACATACCTGGGATCAAAGCTGTCTATATAAAGTCCTTGAACCTGTGTGGGTTCAAACACATTTCAAAGCTTCAGGATCCTGAAAGGTTTCACTCTGCTTCCTCAAGACCTCTGCATTGTTCCCATAAAACCATGGCTTGTCTTGGAGTCCAGAGGTTCAAGGCTCAGCTGCAGCTGAGGATTTGGCCCTTTGTAGCCCTGCTTGCTCTTCTCTTCTTCCCGATCTTCTCCAAAGGTGAGTAGAGACTTCTGGAGCATGGAGGCGGAGGAGGTGTTTTTCCTACATGGGTTTCATTTCTTTCAGCAGCGGAGGACAGTGATTTATAGAAAAGCCAGAAGTGATGGGCAAAAACTATGTTTTGGTTTAACAGCTCTGTGTTCCCAGGCAAGTAGAGGAGAACTAGCAGCAACAAGTGAGCAGAGACTTCTCATCACAGACTGCTGGAATTCCAGCTGGGGCTTAGTGACCCCATGAGAGCTGGTTTGAGAACAAGTTCAGATACTTCTATATCACTGGGAGAAAATCCTGCAAGATTAATAGGTTTAAGGGGAGGAAAGGTTAAGGCATCTGGAATCCTGAGTACATTTGATCTTAATACCAGAGTGACCTTAAGATTTTTTTATCCTAAAACAAACAAACAACCCCAAATGCCTAGATTCAAATTAGTAAGAATTCTTTCCTTATTCACTTTAAATTTGTGAGACCCTCTTAGCTCTTTAAGTTACCATACCTAAGGCTCAGGGAACGTTGCAGAAGAGAGGGCGGAGAGACTGTGAGAGCCAGAGGCACAGGGAATTTACTGTGAGACTGTGTCTCCTAGGAATGTCAGATGCTACACCCATAAAGTCTCATCAACATGACTGCCTAAACATGAGCTGAACAAGGGCATGAATAACAACAGGCATGCCAAAGTAGATGGGGAAAGACTAAGATGCCTCAATCCTATACAAATAACTATAGGCAACCAAGGACTATGGAGAGCAGGAGGCTTCCCCAGGGAGAAGTACACCAACTCTAATCTAATAACAAATGATCAGCACTGAAAACATAGTGCAAAAAATATAGACACATGGAGAAGGTTTAAGTATGTATATACATATACATATATGCATATAACAACAAGTAATGAAAAGAGAGGCCATGACTTTGGGAAAAAAATCAAAGAGGGGTACATGGGAGGGTTTGGAGTAAAGAAGGAGAAATAATGTAATTATATTGTAATCTCAAAAAATAAAAGAAGTAATAAAATAAATGAAGAAAGAATAAATTAGTTAATTATTTTAAAGATGAAATAGTTTTAAATTGAAAGAAGAAAGGAAGGGAAGATGGTAGAAAGGGAAGGAGAGAAGGAAGGAAGGAAGGAAAGAAAGAAGCAAGGGGGAAAGGGAGAAAGGGAGAAGGAAGGAACACAAATATTAGTCTGTTTGGCCTAAGATTCTTTTTATTTTTTTTTCTTCATAAAATCCTCTTAATTATTGTAATAACTACATAAAGATTTTAAGTACAAATTCCTGATTTTCAGATGTAGTAAAAGCTCTTGAAAGGTCAATACCAAGCTTGTTATGCGCTTTGAAAAGGATGTATCTACTGGGCCTTTAGCTTTTCTCTCTCTAAACATTTTAAATTAAGAATCACATAGTTCGTGTGACACCAATGTACAAATGATATATGATGATTAAATTTTACCAAAGAAGCAATAGTCATGTTCAGTTTCTTGTCTGAATAGGTCACAAAAACTTTAATGTGGGAGAGAATTTTTTTAAACACTCTAGTGGGGTTTCCATGGAGCAAAGACTGCTGGGAGAGAGTCTGTGATGGCAGAGATGAAGGTTGGGCAGACACCTGCTGTCTCACGAGCCAAGCTGTTGGAATAACCCCGGCAATGACTGCTGCTACATTGTTCTCTTTTCTGGGGACAGATGCTATTCTGTACAGGTGCTTGCAGAAGAGACCACTGTATCTCCCTTATGGGTAGGAGAGGTGGCCTTGCACACTAAGCCTGGAGTAGTATTCAAGATTGTAATGCGGAGTACGCTAGAGGCTAATTATCTTCTTGTTTTTGCAATCAATGTTAGCAAATTGCCAATGACATTGTTCATTGTTTTAAGTTTTGGGTGTGATTTGCGATATTGACCAGACAGCATCTAGGTTAGCTGTGGAAAGGTAGCGTGACATAGAGCCATTTTTAAATCGAGGGCTGAGGGCTGAACCTAAGACCTGCGTACTCTAGGCAAGCACTCCACCAAGCTAGATCCCCAGCCCGTTTGCTTGGTGTTATTTGGTTTTTAAAACAATGTCCTGTTGTTTAGCTGAGGTTGGCCTTGAACTCGAAGTAACCTTCATCTCCTGTGTTCTGGGATTGCTGATAGGTACCTCCCATATCAGGTTGCAAAACCCCTAATTTCAAATGAGGAAAGCATGTTTGTACAGAGAGCTGGACTTTTTTCTCTTAAAGTATACAGGGAGGAAAGAGAAAAACAAAACAAAACAAAACAAAAAACAAAAACAAACCCCCAAAGGACCAGGAAAGTGTTAAGTGAAGGAAAGAACTGAGGCAGGACAGGCGGTAGGGAGGCAGGGGAAGCCCGCAAAAGTCAACATCAGGGCTGCCCCAACCCCAAGAGGAAATGACCTGGTGCCCTTGGCTCTGCGGCTTCCTCTTCTAACATCATACACCTATCTACCACTGTGATGCCAGCGGAAGGGTGACCAGTGCCCCGAGCTGAGCTTCAGCTGATCCTGGCTGACAGAGGTACACTTATAAATAAGCAGGCAGGAAATGTTGAGGTTTACTTTGGGAGACGAGGGCAAGGCTTTGCGCCCCACGCTCCAGAACTTCCTCTACTGCTGCTCACAATCCTTCCTGCGTGATATAGTGCTATTACCGCAATAACACAGACTACGCTGCCATGTAGTCTACGCCTCTTTCTTGATTTGCTGAAATGACGTAGTTCATGAGAGCCAGGTACCCTAGGTGCTGTACCATTATTCCAACTGCCTTCCATGAACTATTGATCAGTAAGAAAATATTGGAGAGTTACTGAAGATAGCTGAAAGATGGGAAGGTAGGGTGCCAGATACGTGGCGAGGCAAAAGGCAGGGGCGGGGGGGATGAGTTTGTTGAGGCGTGAATTTGTAGGAGCTCCTCGAAGATGAACCTCCCTTGCCCTAAGGTGTGGCCTAGTAGTCCCAACCTTGATGATCATGAGTCCACTAGGTTACCTTTGGCTCTTCCTTGCCAGCCATACAGGTGACCCAACCTTCAGTGGTGCTGGCCAACAGCCACGGTGTCGCCAGCTTCCCATGTGAATATTCATCTTCACACCACACTGATGAGGTCCGGGTGACAGTCCTGCGGCAGACAAACGACCAGATGACTGAGGTCTGTGCCACGACATTCACGACGAAGAACAAGCTGGGCTTCCTAGATGATCCCCTCTGCAGCGGTACCTTCAATGACAGCAGAGTGAGCCTCAGCATCCACGGACTGCGAGCTGCTGACACTGGACTGTACGTCTGCAAGGTGGAACTGATGTACCCACCGCCATACTGTGTGGGCATGGGCAACGGAACCCAGATTTATGTCATTGGTGAGCAAAGCCGTTTCACTAAGAACACGTCTGTTGGCGCGCATTAAAGAAAGACTCATTTGTTCCCGTTTCTTATATCTCTCTCTCCTTACTCCACCCCAATCTCTTCCAATCAACCATCCAAACTAAAATCCCCAACTTGGAATTGTAAGGAAAACAGGTTTACATATCATGAACCAAAACACCCGCCACACACCCCTGCGGCATTACTGTTGCCTTTACACCAGAATCGTTTTGTCCCTTGGTTTGACGTTCTTCATAGGTAGTGCTGTGATTTGTAGCTAGGAATTCCTTATTTAGATGGCAGTCTCGCTTATGAGTAGCTGCATAACCATCACTCTGGCAGTGATGAAATGTGTTTGAGGAGATGTTTTATGCTCCTGATAGACGAGGGCACTTGTTCTTTTGGAGCCATCATGAACTTTAGCCTTGTCCCTGTGATGGCAGTCTGGGGAAGGCACCCAGCAAACAGACTGGCCTGTGCATTCCCAATACAAGGTAGGGTTGGTTAGCAAAGCCTGGGGCTCTAACTTGTTTTCTTCGCCCCAGGGGGAAGTAGGCCCCTGTAATTGAAGGCTGTCTCAGGAGGTTTGTGCTTTGTCTCCTGTTGCAGATCCAGTGTCATGCCCAGATTCCGACTTCCTCCTTTGGATCCTTGCTGCGGTTAGTTCGGGGTTGTTTTTTTACAGTTTCCTGGTCACCGCTGTCTCTCTGAGCAAAACGGTGAGTGTGGTGCTGACATTGTTCCACAGCTAGTGGGGGCACCTCTAGCTGTACCCTACTGACCGAACGATGGTGTCGAGTTGAAGCAATAAACAAAGGGGGAAGGAAGGGTAAAGAACAAGCTAGAACCCCATGCACTGGCCTTTGAGGTTTCGGGATGACTAAGACCGTACGTGAGCATGTTTGACAGTGAATGTTTGCGTGCTTCTCAGCAGGGTTTCAGTTTGAGTAATGGATTGAACAACACGGGGCAGCTGTTTGGGTCTTCACCATCATGGCAGTGGCCCTCATCTCAGCAACCCTGGAACACAGGGCTATGCTGGGCAGCTGCTGCGAGTGAGAACCACTGGGGTGGAGGCTTCTTCACTGAACCCATGTGTTGGTGCCGCCCTTGGGCCTTCTTTTTCAAGCTGTAGATAATCGCGTAATACCTGCTCCTCCCACCCCCATTATATTATGTCCTTACCAAAGCACCTTGACCTCCTCCCTGGCTCAGTGAATGAAAGTCCTGGTTTTTATTTATTGGTAGTGAAAAAAGAGAAGTGTGGAATCAAGTCTCCAGTCCTCAGCCACATCTGTGTAAGGCTGGCTTTCCTTATCACAAACAATGTCCTTTGTTTTCTTTCCTCCTCCTCTTCCTCTTCTTCCTGCTTCTCCAAAGTTTTATCTTTCTACCTTTGTTACTTTCTGTCTCTCTGAGTCTCTGTTTTACACACACACACACACACACACACACACACACACACACACACTTTCATTTTATTGCTATAGCTTCCTTTTTTATTTGCTATTAAGCTACCACCCAGCCTGGCTGACTAGATAGATATCAGTTGTTGAAGTTGCTAAAGTGATAGAAACTGGGAGCTAACACAGACAAAAACCAAGCAAGCAAGCAAGCAAACAAACAAAAACAATAAAAGGCATTAGAAAAGTGGAGATGAGAAATATAGCTTCAAAACAGGATATTTAAAAGCCACTTTTAAATGTTTACATTGATTCCCACAGACAAGATCTAGTGAATTAACTTGGGCATTTTGGGTGCTCTTGGAGAAGTTTTCTCAAAGCCTTTTCTTCATCCTTTCTATTCAGTGAAAATAGTGGCTATTTTACACTTGAATTGCAGAATTATTTATCTAAGGTGAATTTGAATAGTTCAATCAAGAAAGTCTCCCAGAAATTATAATTCCGTATGTTGTTGTGGATGTTTTTTTTCACTGAGGAGGGACCCAATATTTACTGAGTCCCATTATGGTTAAAATTGGCTTCTGTATTCTTTGATAATAATTGCTGTTTCTTTTTGTGTTTTGGCAGCTAAAGAAAAGAAGTCCTCTTACAACAGGGGTCTATGTGAAAATGCCCCCAACAGAGCCAGAATGTGAAAAGCAATTTCAGCCTTATTTTATTCCTATCAACTGAAAGACCATTTGTGAAGAAGAAAGAGCTTACTTCAGTCTCTAACAGCTGAGGCAATTTCAACTTTCTTTTGCTCTCCAGCTATTTTTGCTTGTTTGTGTATTTTAGGGAGAGTGTGCCTCTCTTTCATATAAAGCTGGATACAAAATTTTCAATTAAGCATACTACAGTTTAGAGCTAAGGACCATGAACAGAGAGCTTGGATATTTCTGTCATGTCTGAACAGTTCTTAGTCAAGGCATCACTTGGAAGCAGCATAAAGATATAGCATTATGATGTGGGGTCAAGGGAAGGTTAGGGAATGGCACAGTCCAAAGAAAGAAAAGGGGTGAAGGAGGGGATGGAATTGTACACACCATGTATTTACCTATGAGATGTTTATGACTTAAATAATTTTTAAAATTTTCATGATGTTATTTTTTTAACAAATGTATAATTACATGAAGATTTAAACAAATGTATTTACATAGCTATGTGATAGCTGATTCCAAAAGGTTGTATTGTTTCAACATGTATTTTTAAGTGATATTGTACATGGGTATTTCATGTGCTATTGTGTATTTGCTGGTGGTTTGAATGTAAACACTATAGGTCGGTGTCTTCCCACAGTGGGTTCTGGGGAAGTTTTGCTGGGGGTCTCAGGACACTAATACAGCACATAGGACTTGAGGTCCTGTGTTAACTGACTTGGAAACCAGAGGAGACTGTGGTGCTCAGTTGTACTAAACCGCTGTTGACTTCAGCACTGGGCTTTCACATGAATTGTGTTTGTTTGTTTGTGTTTCTATTTTTGCTTTCTTCGATGACTTACAAGGAAACCAAAGCTGGTGGTGTCTGTGTGACAGAACACTGTTTTCAAGGAACTGCCTCTCTCATGAGAACGGTAGGTCTGTCCTTCTAGGAAACTCCAGTATACGGCCCCTACACTGTGACAGCTCCTCCCAAGCACCAAGTTAATGCCACAGAGAGAAGAAAGCAGCAGACAACAGAACAGGAGGCACGAGAGCTCCTGAAATCTAACACTGTTAGTGTTTTTTTTTCTTTTAAAACTCAGTATTTTCCATGAAAATGCAACAACATGTATAATATTTTTAATTAAATAAAATTCGTTGTGGTTGTTTTAAGGAGCTGCCTAATTTAATAGCTTTGTAACTAAGTGCTGTGTTTGAGCGTGGTTTTGAGACATGTTTTAATTATGCGTGTCTGCGTGTGGGTGTATACCAGTGTGCACAGAGGCCAGAAGTGTGGGATCCCTCCACGGCTAGCATTACACGTGGTTGTCAGGTGCCCGGGGTCCTTGCTGGGAACCCAACTCCCACCCTCGGCAAGAACAGTGTGTATGCTTTCTTAGCTGCTGAGTCAGCTCGCCAGCCCCTGAGTTCGGTTTGGATGGATTCATTCAGCACTCACTAGAGTCTCTGATGCTAAAATCCTGGATAAGTAAAAAAAAAAAAAAGGGTAAAGAACACTTCATGGGCCAGCTGTGTACCAGCCCATGACTTGAAACCCATTTCTTAATTTCCCCTATTTGGATATGATATAGGCACAACCGTCCTTCCAACTTTACAGGGCTCTTTCCCCAGCTTCTTCACTTCCTCTTTCTTACCCACAGTTTACCAGCTCCCCTAACTCTGATTCCTGTTGCCATAGCAACTTCCAGGGCTGTCAGTGCTGGCCCTCCTGCAGCCAGTCTGATTAGTCTTCCCTGTAAACGGAGAGTTCCCCCTGTGTCTTACAAATGGATTATTTTGCCAAGGTAGAGGAAACGTACCTACTGTTCTGTGACACTAGCACTCAACACTTGGGACCACTGAAGTCTCCCTGATTCTTGGTTAACCAAGGTGTATCACTAGCCTGGTTGGTTTCCTTTAAAGTTTCTCGTTCTTGACCTCTACTTCCTGTTATTGTCATGGGCCATGATCTCTTCGTGGTTGGCCATAGACCACTGTAACTGAACACACTGGCTCACTTGCTAAAAACACTGACTCACGGTCTTTGGATGGTGAGGCTGGAAATTTCCCAGAAGCTCCCAGGGGTTTCCTGTTCTCATTGCCACTTAGGTGGCATTCTTTATCTCTCTCTCTCTCTCTCTCTCTCTCTCTCTCTCTCTCTCTCTCTCATAGGAGCCCTGAGAATCCAGGCATGAGCTACAATGTTTGGCTTCACGCGGTTTCCAGTGCTCTGAACATAGGTCCTTGTGCTTGCACAGCAAGGCTCTATTCACTGACTCATTCTCCTAGTCTCCTCCAAATGTCTCAATCCCCCATCCTTTGTGGCCAAAGGATCAGACTGAAGTTGGTCTTTAAGCCTCCTTAAATTCTCCCCTTTAAGCCTATACAAATTTCCCCCTTTCTGTTTCACAGCTATCTCTGGTTTCATCTCTAATAGTTTCAAGTGTGCCTGAATTTTAATCTTAGCTTCATTTGGAAGCGCTCTAAGAGGGATCATCACAGCTTTAGACATACTGGATGATCAAGCAAGTGGCCGAAAGTCCTGGGGAGCTAGGGTCTCTGGGACCGTGGAGAGGACAGCTGTCTCCTACTAAAAAGCTGCCTGTGTTTTCTTTTCTTTTTTTTTTTTCTTTTTTTTTATTTATTTTTAAATTTTATTTTTTTCTTTTTTTTAAAATCTTTTATTATTTTTTTATTAATTACACTTTATTCATTTTGTATCCCCCCATAAGCCCCTCCCTCCTCCCCTCCCGATCCCACTTTCCCTCCCCTTTCTGCATGCATGCCACTCCCCAAGTCCACTGATAGGGGAGGTTCTCCTCTTCTTTCTGATCTTAGTCTATCAGTTCTCATCAAAAGTGGCTGCATTGTCCTCTACCGTGGCCTGGTAAGGCTGCTCCCCCCTCAGGGGGAAGTGATCAACGAGCAGGCCAATCAGATTATGTCAGAGGCAGTCCCTCTTCCCATTACTATGTAACCCACTTGGACACTGAACTGCCATGGACTACACCTGTGCAGGGGTTCCAGGTCATCTCCACGAATAGTCCTTGGTTGGAGTATGAGTCTCTAGGAAGTTCCCTGTGCTCAAATTATCTTGTTCTGTTGCTCTGCTTGTGGAGTTCCTGTTCCCTCCAGCTCTTACTATTTCCCACTTCTTACATAAAATTCCATTCACTCTGCCCATCAGTTGGCCATCAGGCTCAGCATCTGCTTTGACAGTCTATACTGCAGAAGCTTTCAGAGGCCCTCTGTGGCAGGTTTCAAGGTTGTTTCCTGTTTTCTTCTGGCTTTCAGAGGCCCTCTGTAGCGGGTTCCGAGGTTGTTTCCTATTTTCTTTTTCTTCTGATGTCCATCCTCTTTGCCTTTCAGGATGGGGATTGAACATTTTAGTTAGGGTCCTCTCTTTTGCTTAGTTTGTTTAGATGTACAGTTTTTAGTGGGTTTATTCTATATTGTATGTTTATATGAGTGAATATATACCGTGAGTGTCTTTTTGCTTCTGGGTCAACTCACTCAGGATGATCCTTTCCAGGTCCCACCATTTACCTGCAAATTTCATGATTTCCTTATTTTTCATTGCTGAGTAATACTCCATTGTATAGATGTACCACAGTTTCTGCATCCATTCTTCAGTTGAGGGGCATCTGGGTTGTTTCCAGCTTCTGGCTATTACAAATAAAGCTGCTACAAACATGGTTGAACAAATGTCCTTTTTGTGTACTTGCGCCTCTTTTGGGTATATGCCTAGGAGTGGTATGGCTGGATCTTGAGGAAGCGCTATTCCTAGTTGTCTGAGAAAGCGCCAGATTGATTTCCAGAGTGGTTGTACCAGTTTACATTCCCACCAGCAGTGGAGAAGGGTTCCCCTTTCTCCACAACCTCTCCAGCATGTGTTGTCCCTTGAGATTTTCATCTTGGCCATTCTGATGGGTGTAAGGTGAAATCTCAGGGTTGTTTTGATTTGCATTTCCCTAATGGCTAATGAGGTTGAGCATTTCTTTAAGTGCTTCTCTGCCATTCGATATTCCTCTGCAGAGAATTCTCTCTTTAGCTCTGTTCCCCATTTTTTAAGTGGATTACTTGGTTTGTTGCTTTTCAGCTTGTTTAGTTCTTTATATATATTGGATATGAGTCCTCTGTCAGATAGAGGGTTGGTGATGATTCTTTCCCAATCTGTAGGCAGTCGCTTTGTTTTGATGACGGTGTCCTTTGCTTTACAGAAGCTTTTCAATTTCATGAGGTCCCATTTATTGATTGTTGTTCTTAGAGCCTGTGCTGTTGGTGTTCTGTTCAGGAAGTTTTCTCCTGTACCAATGAGTTCTAGGGTATTCCCCACTTTTTTTTCTAGCCGATTTAATGTGTCTGGTTTTATGTTGAGGTCTTTGATCCG